TTTGGAATAAGAGTTATTCCTCATGGAATGAGGTTTACAGATTTTGAAATAAGCCATCCGTTATAACAAAATTATTTCCAAATAACGGAATTGCTGTGTAGACGCTCACTTTATGTCAAAATAATGGCTGTTATTCCAAAATAACACTGTTGTGTAGACACAGCCTTATAAGAGTGGCTGTAGTTGATACAGTGTTTTGAACAACTTTTCAAATAAAATATTTTGTAATTATGATAAAATAGATAACAATTAAATTATTACAAGCTTGCTTTAAAAATAATATTGTAAAGAACAGGTAACATTTTGGAGAGGAATAATCTCATATAAATTTGAAAATATTTGGTTTAATGTGTTAGATGCCTTTAATTAATTCCTAGCAGATGGAAACTAAGATGTCTTCTGTCCCTGATCTGTCTCCCACCTTTCCTCCTATTCTTTTACTTTTCTGTTCTTCTGCCCTTTTTGTGTTCTCCCCCTATTTTGGGGTAAATAAACCAATACAATATAAATGGAAAAAAAACTATAGCATTTATATGCAACATAATATATAATAGGCAAATATTTACCTATCAGAAATTTAAATGCAGGTTCTGTTTCAGATCCTAGAATCTTAATTTTGTAGAAAATAGGGAAAGTTGCTCCATAGTTTCCCTTGGCAAAAGAGTCTATTTCCTGGCTTGAGCCAGGCTCCGATTCTCCAAACTGATTGCACGGAAAGGCCAGAACAGTGAAGTGGGATGGACCAAACTCTCTGTGTAATTCTTGCAGTGCGATGTAGTTTTTGTCTGTGTGCTGGCAGTAACTGGCCACGTTTACAACCAAAGACACCTTCAGAGAAATATAAGGTAGAACATTTAGAAAGAAACTGCAAGTTTCTAAATTATTTTAAGTCTTAAAGATATAACTTCCAATAGCATAATCTCTTCTGTTTGTAACCATCTGAGCATTATCTCATTAAATATAGTAAGAATATCAGAAGCTGAAAGCTGGTACTGTTTAAGTGACATTCTTTTAATAAAAATTCTTAGATCCTTGAAAAAGGATCAAATTTTTTAAATTACGGTTTTGTTTTAAAAGCACACATGCAAAATCAGACAGCTTAAGGTTTGTGCGTAATAAATAGTCTTGCATTTTATATTTTAGATCAACCTCTTAAGTATAATTGCAATGAGCTGATGTTCTTAGCTATTGTGATTAAAATACATTAGTTCCATTGTTAGAGCATTTCAGTTATAATAACAAATCATATCGAATGACCATTTTACATGATTTATTTTCACTAAACTTAATATAGCAAGTTACAGTTCATCTGTATTGGTAGCTTAGTTCCAAACACTGATGGAATAGGGAATTTAGTAAATATCTCTATCTCCCCATAATGCTATAATATTTTTACCATATATAAACTGAATATATTGGTTGTTCTCTAAAGATTTTGTAAACAAAGAAATAGTGCTTTGATCATCCAACTTACTTTGCCTCTGTACTTCTCCAAAGAAACGATCCTCCCTCTGGAATCCTTCACTTCAAAAGAATAAAAATCTTTGATTTTAGGTTTTAAGAACTTGAGTTGCAACAGGCAGAGCATCGCTGTACACAAAACCATCGACAGGAAAATGATAAACACCCTTGCTTTGGGCAATGAACATTTTAAAGGAAAAGTTGTGAGAGGCAGAGGCTCCATTTTGGAGAATTTTGAGGGCAGCTTCAGCAGGCCTGGAATGTGAGGAGGAGCTGAAACATGAAACCTGCAGCTGCTCTACACAGACCATTGTAGCTGCTCATCCTGCCTCAACATTAGGAGAAATTTCAGGGGGCAGAGGACTTAGTCTGTACAGGATAAATTTAAAAAACAACAAATGGTCTGGTAGCACTTAATAGACTAGTAAAATGTGTAGATGGTATAGAATCATAGAATACTAGGACTGCAAGGGACCTCGAGAGGTCATTGAGTCCAGTCCCCTGCCTCCGGTCATCTGAAGAAGTGAGCTGTGCCCACGAAAGCTCATGATACCGTCTACATGTTTTACTAGTCTATTAAGTGCTACCAGACCATTTGTTGTTTTTTAAGTTTATTAGGAGAAATGTTCAGGGTTTAAAAGTTAAGGCTGCTTCCCCCATACATAAAACACCAGTATGAAACACTAGTTTGATAATATGCATAAATGCCTCTTAGTGAGATACAGATAAATTAAAATGGTGCTAATTACATTAAAAATAGTTCCACATAACTGATCCAAGGAAATAGATTCAGAGAGGAAAGGTGACCCAGAGCATAGTTCCCAACCTGTGGTCCATGGACCCTTGGTGGTCCACAATGGTACTGCAGGGGATCCATGGAAAGTTTAAAAATAAGGATCAGGCCTATTGAATGAAAAGGGTCTGTATGATTGAAAAGGTTGGGAACCACTGAGGTTATGGGTGCTAGCTCAGAACCTGAGTGACTCTGGTTTAATTCCATGACTTATCACAGACCATTTGTGTAAAGCTGAGCAAATCACTTAGCTTGTATGTGCTTTAGGTCCCCATCTGTGAGATAGGGGTAATAGTTTTATCCTACCTTGCCAGGATGTTGTGAGGCTAACTATGTTAATGTTTGTGAGGTGCTCAGATACTATATAAGAATCTAAGGACACTGTGTACACATACAGTGCAGGTATCTATTTGTAAAGCTGACAGACCCTGGTCATTGGCAGGTGGGAATGAACCTACGAACTTAGATGCTAAAGTCAGGTGCTTCTACCGCACAAGATAAAAGCCATTCGCTCTCAGTTAAGGCTTTACAGCAGACTTCATTCTCCCTTGTCAGTGGGCTCAGTGTCTCTGTGTTATATAATCATTTTATTTGGGCTACACTTCCCTTTTTGAAAAATACTTGTTTGACTTGGAAAGCCTCCATACTGTGCCATTTCATCATGCTTTTTTTCTTTTTGTTTATTGAGTTTAGTGCTATACGTATCTTCTCAAGCTCTGTAGCTTCTATGCAGAGTTTAAGGATTTTAATTTTCTTATTTCAGGTGCTTTGCAACTAGCATAATTACTTTTAAAAATGTTGCTGCTAAAAGTTACATATCTGCATGCTAGAATTTAAATAGCTGAGTGCTAACTTCCCCATAAAGGTGCTAAACTTAATTATGCTGTAGTTGCTATTACTTAGTGGGTCAATGATAGTTATACCTCGAACAAACACCTGCCTGATACTTAGTATGGGTATGTCTACACTAGCCCCCTAGTTCGAACTAGGGAGGCTATTGTAGGCATTCGAAGTTGCAAATCAAGCCCGGGATTTAATTATTCCCTGCTTGATTTGCATTTTCCCGGCTGGTCGCCATTTTTTGAAATTTACAAGTCCGGACTAACTGCCCATGTCTACACGCGGCAGGGACCCGGTAGTTCGAATTAAAGCCCTAGTTTGAACTACCTGTTATTCCTCCTGCAAGGAGGTTTAACAGGTATTTCGAACTAGGGGCTTTCAAAATCTTGCCAGTCTAGACGCAGCCTATATGTTTCTTAGGGCTAACCCAGGGCAAACACTGGAGATCTTTTGCTTATGCCTAGAAAAACTTGCCTTCAAGAGTCCAAGCACTAGAGATACAATCTCCCCAAAAGGGCAAGAAATGCTAGGTGTGGTGTACCTCCCTTTGGATGTGTGCTGGCTTGCTGCCTTTGAAAGCTGCCTCCCAAGAAGTGTGTGTTTGTATATGTGGAAACACTGGTGTGACCCTGTAACCGTGCCTGTGCTATGCCCCAAGGCCTTTCTCCTACTCTGCCCCTTCTCCAAAGGCTTCCTGGGTCCACTGCTTTCTTCTCTCTGCTCTTGCCCCCAATCGTTATCCACCCAGGTCTCCCTGCATCATCCTTTGAGGTTCCCTCACTTGCTGCTTGCTCCTCTTGACCTCTTCCTCAAGTCCATCTACCTGGACAGGAGGGGCCTTCAGGTTTCATAGGAGAGGGTGGAAAGGAGCAAGCAGCAGCCTGGGGAACTGGCACCTAGTTTGCCGTGTCACAGATCCATAAACCATTAATTTAAGGTGTCAAAAAATGGTGTCTCTAAACCTGTTTTGAAGTGACTAATTTATATACAAGACATTGAAATTATCCATCACTACTGCTTCATTAGATGTGGCTTCTTTGGTCTCCTCTTTGCACGCCCAATGGTTTTCTCCTGATCTGGATGTCAGCTGTATGTTTTATATTCTTATGGCTTTGGAATTGTATCCAGGGGTGCTGGGGTGCTGTGTTCTCCTTTGGGAAGAATCTTGCTCCTTTAAGGTGGACTTGGAGGATCCAGTTAGCAGTGGCATTGAGATCCACTCAAATGCTAATAGCCTTAGGAGTTCTAAGAAGGGTTGAGGGAGGAGCAGCAGGGACAGGACACTTGATTTTGTGACCACCTGGACCCATGAACCATTCCTCTTCACAGAGCAGACGCTCCGGCACTGCAGAGGCTGCAGTTGTGTTCACACAATAGCTGTGCTGTTACTCTGCAGACTTGCAGATTGTGGGGAGGAAACTTCCTTCCAGGCAGCTCCTAGATATGCCCTGCACCCCCAGCAGTTACGTGGGCTACATGCTGGGAGGCAAGATTGCCCATATGCATTAACAGCAAAAGGCTTCTTCTAACGATATATAAACTAATATAAGCTGCCAACTCTATATTAAGAAACAAAATCTCCTGTCAGTCAGTGGGCCAACAACCACCATGGGTCCCAGGGCAAGTTGGGGGGCTCAGTTCCGTGCCCCTTAGCACTGCCCAGACTATGGCACGTCCCTCCCAGCCCTCAGAGCTGTGTGGAGCGGTGCTTGGGTGCTCCCACGGCAATTTAAAGAGGCCTGGGGCTCTTGCCCTTTGAATCTCAGGGCAAATGCCCCATTTGCTCCTCCCCCTTGTCAGTGATCCTAGTTATTTGGATTGTTTGAGAATTCATGGGCTTAATAACCATTTAACCTTCCTGTTACATAATTATTGCAGCAAAATTATCTGTTTTTCTTTTAAATAGACACCTGATTCAGCAAAGCCTACCTATTCACGATTTAAAAGTTGCATTGTGAAGAAACTGACTTCCAACATTCCTGTTGCTAGTAGCCCTATCATCACAAGGTGGCAGCAGACACACACAAGAAGTCAGGCCGAGCAAACTTTCACAGAGTGTCAGCCTATTAATCTCTTTCCAGCTGATGGATCAGTGCAAGTAAGGACTCCTGAGAAGATCTCAACAATCCCAGGTCAGTCAGCAGCCGGAAGAACAGTATGGGGACTGGATCACTCTGGAGATTCACTAGAGGCTCTACACCCCCTTCTAGGCCTACAGCCAGGCAATTCTGATAATGACAAAAAGGGCTGGGTTCAGTGTCCCATGTGAGATGTGTGTTGATTTCAGTCCAGTTCCTAGTGGATAAGTATAGTTTTTAGAGGGGCAAGGTGGGTGAGGTAATATATTCTATTGGACCAACTTCTGCTGGTAAGAGAGACAAACTTTTGAGCCACACAGAGCTTTTCCTCAGCTCTGGGAAAAGCATGCCCAGTATCACAGCAGAATGCAAAGTCGTTTCACTTGTATATAGTAGCTTAGGTGTGTAGGTGCTTTAGACAGAAAATAAAAGTACAGGACCCAATTCATCTTAATGGAATTACATTGCTGTTAAACTGGTGTGAGAGGAGAATCAGACCCATGAGCTCATCCTGTGGAATGTATAAGCGAGGATAGACAGGGCATGCATGACTTGCTGGTAATGAAGGAAAAGGTGACCTCAGGGAAGGCAAAGGGGAAAGAGAGCCATATCCTTGTATCCAGACAAGCTGCTTTCAGTGAAGGACCACTTTGGGTCCTGGTCCTGACAGGTAGCTAGCGGCTGAGCACTCTAAGGAGCGCAAGTTTATAACAGGTGGTTTTACATCAGCCGAGATTGCCTGGAATGCTGCTAGTTTCTTGGCGGAGTGATACTCCCTCACTGTAAGTTATAGGTTCACTCATTTGTCAGATCTGGCCTGGTTTGCAGTGACACTGGAAGATTTTTAGTGGTGGAGGTGTTGGAAGCTCCCTTCCACTCCTCTGTTCCCCTCCCTTGCTGAGATTGGGAGCAGGGGTCTGTCTCTGGGAAGGGGGGGGACCTGGACAAAGGTAAGGGAGGAAGGTCACAGCTGGGGATGGGCGTGGGGTTAGGAGCAGAGACCTAGGCAGGGAGCAGTAGCATGGACCCCACATCTTGGGAGAGGAGGCAGGGGGGCAGGCACAGACCCCCAGGCATGGGGCCAATGGCCAGAGAGTGGGCTTGGGGACCCAGAGTAGAGCCCTGATTGTAGGGCTAGTAGTGGGGCAAACCCTGAGAGTGGGGGCTGGGCTCTGGCACTGGGCCCTGGGCATGGGGCCAGCAGCCAGGACCTGAGCCTCAGATGAGGTGATTGATTTAGTGTGGATGTGGGTGGAAGGCTGGTAGCAGGGCATAGGCACAGGAAGCATCTCCGGCTTTTATGCGAAGTGGCAGGGGAGCAGGACTTGGGGCCAGCAGCCTGTCTAAAAGGTGAGGGTGTGCAGCAATCCTCACACCTCTACTTCCTGTGCTTAGGTTGGCTTGGCCCAACTCTGGCATCTGGGAGATTGTGTGGACTTGGGAGGAGACCCAAGCTTGCGTCTGTCCTTTTATATGTTGACAGAGAGGAACTATGCAGAAGCAAGCAGTGAACTGTCTATGCCTATGGTAGCTTTAACTAAGAACTTGATGCTGTGTGGGCCAGCCAAGCTCAGTGTTGGCTCATTGAAAGAACAACCATGAAAAGGGGACACAGTTTCCCTGTCTCTTCTGGGTTGCCTGAGATTTGGTTTCTATATGCAGCAGTACTGAGGATAAATGGGGAAGTCCTTCACTCATGGCATTCACACAGTTGTCTGAGTTATGGGACAAAGTGAGAGCCATATATGCCTGATTCAGGATGAAAATCATTAGATGTAATAAAGATTGCTTCTAAAAATAGAGGGTGGGTTGTCACTTGCAATAGGTGCCACTTTCCTCTATTGAATGGAATGTCACAGTTTTTCAAGAGTGTGATCCTAAATTCGCTAGTCTCTGGCTCACAAACCCTTAAACAAAATCTTGGGATTGAGCTATCGATGTGATTGAGCTATCTATGAATTCTGTCTGTGAGTCTATGTTTACACTGTCGCGCTATTTTGGGATACCAGAGGTATTCTGAAATAGCTATTCCGCATCTTTTGAGTGCCCCCATTATTTTGAAATATAACAGGCTTGATAGGCTATAACAGGCTCTGACATCCCATAAAACCTCATTCCACAAGAAGTAAGGACATTTTGGAATAGCAATTTATTTCGAAATAAGTGCTGTGTAGACAGTGCTAAATTTCAAAATAAGCTATTTTGAAATTGACTTGAAATAAGCTACGTGATTTGCATAGCTCAAATTGCATAGCTTATTTCGAGCTATGTGTGCAGTGTAGATGCACCCTAATAGTGCATTGTCCTACTGACAAAGTATCAGGCCAACCCTCAGGATTAGTGTTACCAAAGAATCTGCTTGACAATGGCAAGGAACAATACAAGCATCGGGCAAAAATACTTGTATTTCTTAAAGGAAATATATCAATCCTTTTTTTCAGTATTCTTTCACGTGCCCATCAAAAATTCTACCAAGGAACCTGATATCATTACTAATGCCCCAGCCAGCTGTCATGAGACAACTTATTTACAAGGAAAAAATAAAAGGAGAGCTGAAATTGCAAAGGAGCAGGTGAGCACTGTAACAATGCATATGTGCTGGAAGGATTTATATTAAACTCTTTTCTGATATTGGCATTGTTAGTATATTTTGTTACCTTGTCTTCTTTCCAGACTCTCCTGCTCATTTTTCTAACTTTCTAACATGTAAAATAGTGACCAGAACAGCTGGATCCAGAGCAGCCTTCTACATAAGTGTAATTAAAATTGCTTTGTCACTTGTGGTTGACTTATATTTATATGTCTCTTCTTCTTCAGACTGTAGAGAGACAAGATAGGTGAAGTAATATCTTGTATGGGACCAAATTCTATTGATGAAAGAGACAAACTATTGAACAAGATAGAGCACTTCCTCAGCTCTTTGTTGCTTGAAATATTGTTGCTCACTCATCTTGTCTTGACACAGTACAACTACACTGCGTATCTCCAGACTATTCTCTTGTAAACTAAAAATGAAACCAAAACTTATTTTCATTATCCAAGTAAGTACTTATAACAATTAAGTAGTTATAACCCAAAAGATGTGTGCATTACACTCCCAAGAAAGTGCATGGTGTCTTATTACACCTCAACTGCACCCTCTATTGTCCTTGCTTCCTGTTTTTTTACCTTCACTTAGGGCCAGAGCATATTCACAATCCAGCTGGAAGTTTGCATTCCCCAAATCCTGTCCCTTCCTGCCACCGGCTCTCCCGCACTGCACCCAGTCCTCTGAGGGACACCGTTTCATGGGTTACTGGGGTGTGGGGGCTAGAGCAGGGCAGCAACAGCAATTAGGCCTTTCTGTACTCCCCACAGCAGCAAAAGCTGCAGGGAAATGAAGTGGAGCTCTATAGGAAGGGGCTAGAGCAACAGCCTCTTCCTTTGGCTTGTACAGAACCAAATACAGGGTCAATAATGTTACAGGTAATTGGCTTTCTGAAGTGGTCAGGAACCCAGCTAACCTGCGACAGGCTCTTTGAAGGAGAATACGTTAAAGAAGCGACGAGGAGTCCTGTGGCACCTTATAGACTAACTGAAGTGTAGGAGCATAAGCTTTCGTGGGCAAAGACCCACTTCGTCAGATGCATGTAGTGGAAATTTCCAGAGGCAGGAATAAATATGCAGGCCAGGATCAGGCTGGAGATGACCAGGTGGATCCAATCAAGGAGGATGAGGCCCACTTCTAGCAGCTGATCTGGAGGTGTGAATTCCAAGAGAATAGAAGCTGCTTTTGTAGTTAGCAAGCCATTCACAGTCTTTGTTTAATCCAGAGTTGATTGTGTCAAACTTAAAGATGAACTGTAGCTCAGCAGTTTCTCTTTGAAGTCTGGTCCTGAAGTTTTTTTGCTGCAGGATGGCTACTTTTAGATCTGCAATTGTGTGTCCAGGAAGATTGAAGTGTTCCCCTACAGGTTTTTGTATGTTGCCATTCCTAATATCAGATTTGTGTCCATTGATTCTTTTACGTAGGGACTGTCCTGTTTGGCCGATGTATATAGCAGTGGGGCATTGTTGGCACATGATGGCATATATTACGTTGGTGGATGTGCAGGAGAATGTACCAGTGACAGTATGGCTGATCTGGTTAGGTCCTGTGATGGTGTTGCTGGTGTATATATGTGGGCAGAGTTGGCACCGAGGTTTGTTGCAAGGATTGGTTCCTGAGTTCGAGTTATTATGGTGCGGTGTGTAGTTGCTGGTGAGAATATGCTTCAGGTTGGCGGGTTGTCTGTGGGCAAGGACCGGCCTACCTCCCAAGGCCTGTGAGAGCGAGGGATCATTGTCCAGGATGGGCTCTTGGAATATTCTCTTGGAATTCACACCTCCAGATCAGCTGCTAGAAGTGGGCCTCATCCTCCTTGATTGGATCCACCTGGTCATCTCCAGCCTGATCCTGGCCTGCATATTTATTCCTGCCTCTGGAAATTTCCACTACATGCATCTGACGAAGTGGGTCTTTGCCCACGAAAGCTTATGCTCCTACACTTCAGTTAGTCTATAAGGTGCCACAGGACTCCTCGTCGCTTTTGCAGATTCAGACTAACACGGCTACCCCTCTGATACGTTAAAGAAGATCCACCAATGAGTAATTAGTTGCCTAGGGTGGTAGTTAATTAGTTAAGAAAAATCTGGGTCTAGTAAGGATCATGAGGCTCATTCAAAAGGTTCTTGGAACACAAGAAGCTCCGGAGGAGAGGGGTTTCTCAGGGAGCTGTTTCGAGAGTTCATCAAAAAAGACACCTAATTAGTGTTGCCACCTCTGAGGAACAAAAATAAAGAGACTATAAAACTAGGCAGCTCCCTGTGTGTCTTGAGCACCCTTACAGATTTCCCAGGACATCTACCTTAAAAAGAATCCCGTGGCAACCTGGAAGAGTTGTGGTAGCATGATTGCTGGGTGATCCTGAGCCCAAAGGAGGAGCTTTCTTTAGGTCATGGCTAGAGGCTTGACTCCAGAGTAGGTTCTGGGTCTTGAAGACCGTACTAGTAAGGAGTCTGGACAGAGGAGAATGATAGATCCAGGTGGGCACATTTAGATTAAGACTAACTTGGCAAACTGTCAAGGATGTTTGGAATGAAGACTTGCTTGTGTGTCTTCTTTACCTTTGGTTAAATAAATAAGAGCCCTGACAGGGCACTGTATAGTACATAAAAGCCATGATGAACTTAATTAAAGTCCATTAAGGGAAACTGAGGCAGTACATACCTATGGTTTGGCATTGGGGGACCGGAAAGTGCTCCAGGGTTGTGTTCATCTTATAATAATAATAAATTCATCTTATAATAATACATTTGAATAATAGCAGTAAAGAATAATGATGTTAATGTCATATAATTAACATTAATAAACCATAAATGTTTAATTATAACATGCATAGTGTATCAGTCTCTCCATGTAAGCAACTGGGTAGGTACTAGATAACTGATCTGGCAAGCTGCTGATGGGTATCCTTAATTACTTGCCCTCCCCATGAATGCATCAGATTTAGTGGGAAGGCTATGCTCTTATTATTGTTTAGGAAGCATGATCCATGAAAGCTGTCTCTCAGTTGTCTAAACAGAGGTACCCATTCTGAATATAACACATTTTGAGGGCTTTGATGTTTTTCATGACTCCTGGCATAGAGGCCACTGATTTGGAAATGGATTTAGCATTCAAAATTTACAAACTATGTGACTCCAGCAATTTTGTTTGATCCATCCATATGGAGAAATATAGTAAAAACGTGTATCTTTTATTGCATAAAATGCTCCATGTGTAGCACTTTCCATGTTTAGATCTTAAATCACTTTTCAAATGTGGGTAAACATCATTCTCTTTATTTTACAAATGGATCTCTAATGCATAGGAAGGTGAAATTACTTGCTTAGAATCACACTGGCAATCAGTATTGGAGCTTAAACTAGAGCCCACAGGACCTGACTCTTATTCCAGTAGCCCATTCTCTGAACCACACAGCAGTATCCAGGGCCGGCTCTAGGCACCAGCAAATCAAGCACATGCTTGGGGCGGCACATTTCCAGGGGTGGCATTTTCAGGTAAGCAGCCACGCGGGGCAATGCCCGCCCCGCCCTGCCGATTTTAAAGGGCCGCAAGAGATGCCACTACCTGCTGTGGAGCTGCCCAGACTCGCTCCGCTTGGGCGGGAGGTCTGCGGCTTCACTAGCCAGGAACCTGTTTGCGGTGGCAGCCCCTTCCCACAGGGCACGTGGCTCCCAGCCACAAAGCCTGCCACGCTTTGTGGGTCTTTACGACGGCAAAGGAGGCGGAGGGCAGGGCTTAGAGACAGTTGCCTGGCATGGATGAACTTGTTTATGGGGATGCAGCTCAGCATGGCCTCCTGGGCGTCTGGGCAGTCGCTGGGTGTCCCCATGCTTCCCCTCGCCAATGGCTTATGCATTCCCGTGCTGGGGCGGGTAAGTGCCCCATCTCTCTCCCCAGCTCGCGGCGCTGGGGATGGGTATCCCTGCTCTGCCCTGGCCGCACGTCAGCCCCCCGCTAGCACCCGGTGCCCCCCACATGCCAGTTCCTGTGTCACTGCTTTGCTGCTGCCCTAGCTACCCTTCCCCTTGCCACATCACCCCTCAGTGCCTGTGCTGCTGCCCTACCCTTCCCCATGCCAAATCACCCCCAGTGCCTGTGCCACTGCCCTAGCTACTCTTCCCCTCGCCGCATCACCCCAGGGATAGGTTTGGGGGAGGGGGTGCCCTTGCCCTGGTCTGGTCAGTTCTGCCTGCGCCTGACCAGGGCCAAGCCTCGGTAACCGGGGCGGCCACATTTTTTTTGCTCGGGGCAGCAAAAAACTAGAGCTAGCCCTCACAGTCTCCTACAAAGAGGACACATAGAAGTTGTTATTTTTTGTATTATCGCAGTGCCTACATGCCTCGGTCATGAACCAGAAGTGCAAGCACTGTACAAACAGAGCACAAACATAATTCTAGCCCCAGAGAGTTTACAATCTAGACATAAGACAAGACAAAACACATAAGTGAATGGGAAAGTAAAAGGAAACAATGAGACAATGCTGATCAGCATGATTGGCTCTGGTCTCAGCACACTAGCAGCCTAATGTCAAGTTTTTTGTAGGTGTCATGGAAAAGGAGAGTTAGTGTGGGTGGTTGTCTTTTATATATTGCTGCAAGAAGAACAGAAAACAAAGTAGTCAGTGCTGACTAGAAATGCATGGGAAGATGCACTAATAATTTTTCACAGGTATAGTAATGAATAGCCATTTAATATAAATAGTGTTCATTTGGCCTGGTATGATATGTGGATAGTATAAATCAAGAATGAAGTCTCTTGGCTATTCCAGTGAATGTGTGGTCCTTTTGTGGTCCAAAAGGTTATTTCCCCATGTATACAGTATGTTTTCCATATTAATGTCTGCACTAGTTTCAGAGACCTTCAAATCCAAGTAATCTGATCTTTTTGCCAAGTTGTCTGTATAAATCATTAATAAAATACCTCTCAAAGAGGGCCTGGTTTAGAACAGCCTCTGGGATATGCAAAGAAGAAATATTACTTTCCCCGTGATTTGTTTGTGAGGCACTTCTTGTAACTATTAAAATAGGATTTAGAAGAAGAAAAACATTTGGTCCATTGGGAGTGATTGGATTTCATAAACATTGTTTAACCAACATGCTATTAATTTTGAGTGGTTGTTGAAAGCATCAACTATATTTCCACCTGTCTGAAAAAAATATTACAGTCCAAGCTGACATTTTTTTGACCTCATAACAAACGCACAGAGAAGCTGTCATAATACTATTCAACACAATATAAATAAGCATTTTGGCCTCTTGTTGACAACACATATTAAGAAGAAATATGTTACTGTTAGGAATGGCAGAAGAGATTATGATCAAGTAAGAACTGACCTGAGCCTTTGCCCAAACCAGGACCACAATTCTAAACAGGTCTTTTCTGAAAACTGAAAAAGTTTCAATAATAGTTTGCTTTTCCCCCTTACTTTTAATGATCACATATTTAGCATTTTTCTGTTTATATCTGAGACTCAAAAGCAGGGAGTCCCTATTTCCACAAGATTAGCAGCTCTGATTTTCAGCACCAGGAGATTCAGATAGTTTTCACTAGCCTTGGGTAAGCATCTGAACTTTAAGGTCATAAGAAGATGTTCTATGCAGGGAGGATGGTGGTGATATTATGGCTTGGATTCTGGTGATTGCATAAAATATCAGTCTCTTTGGTACAGATCCACTGTGTCACAGTAGCCGAGTCACTGAAGCTCTTTGAACCCAGTTCCCTTATCTTTAAAATGGGGATGATAACATGGGGATACTGTTAGAGTTAATTCATAAGTGGTTGTAAAATGTGTTGAGCAGGCTTGCTGATGGGGTCGGGGTGGAGGTCAAAAGATGCAATGCTCCCAGGACTTGGATGATTTAAAAGGGCCCAGTGGTCCCTGGATGCCACTGGCAGAGTAGCAGGGTTAAGGCTGGTTTCCTGCTCACCCATGCTCCATGCCACTCCCAGAAGTGGCCAGCAGCACATCCCTGTGGGAAGTCTCTGCATGCTGCACTTGCCCTAAGCACTGACTCCATAGCTCTTATTGGCTGGGAACTGCAGCCAATTGGAACTGTGGGATTGGTGCCTGCAGGCAGTTGCATGTGGAATCACCTGGTGCCCTGCCTAAGGGCTGCTTCCAGAGGGGTGTGCAGGTCACTTTCAGGAGCTACCTGAGGTAAGTGCTGGCCCCCTGACTCCCTTCCACACCCTTACCCCATGCCCCAACTCATAGGCCACACCCCACACCTAAACTTTCTCTCAGAGCCTGACCCCTCACCCCCTCCTGCACCCAAACTTCCTCCCAGAGCCCAAGTCCTCACCCCCTTTTGCACCCCAACACCTACCCTTGCCCCAGAGCGCACACCCTATACCAAAACTCCTTCCCAGAACGCGCTCCTCTCACACCTCACACCAAAACTCCCTCCCATACTCTGCATGCCCCCACACCAAAACTCCCTCCCAGAGCTTGTTCTTCTCATACCCCACACCAAAACTTCCTCCCATACTCTACATGCCCCCACACCAAAACTCCCTCCCAGAACCTGCTTCTCTCACAACCCTCATCAAAACTCCCTCCCACAACCTGCACACTCGCACACGCAAACTCCCTCCCAGAACCTGCACCCTACAGCCCCTGCCTCAGCCTGGTGACTGTAAATGAGCATGTGGGGAAAGCCAGTGATGGAGAGAGGGGGAATGGAGTGAGTGAAGGTGTGGCCTCAGAGAAGGGGCAAGATAGGGGCATGGCCTCAGGGAAGGAGAGGGGCAGAGAAGAAGGAAAGGGTCTTTGGGTTTATGTGATTATACAGTTGGCAACCCTATAGGGTGGTGACCATGTGCAAGCATTGCCCATGATGGAAGAGTGTGCTTAGCAGCACAGCCAGCAGCTCGCTGGGCACCAGGTAATGCAGGCACAGCACCACCGAAATATCAGGTAGACTATGTCTGCATGGACGCTGCTTGCGTGTGTGGGGGCCCATTGATTGTTGTGGCCTGGGGCCCTGAATTGTTGTTGGTGTGCTCGCACTTAGTCCCTTAAATGGAAGGGACGATTGAAGTGCACATAATGATGTCATGCATGATACTTCTAAATTCCTTCTCAGTAATGTTTTCTTTTGAATATATTTGTAGAAATGTCTCACGCAGCTGGTAATGCTCCAAGAGAATGGATATAGAATCTCAGAAAATGATGATATAAAGATCTGTGGAAACACTGAATGTGTTTGGAAAGGTATGGTACGGGAACAGTGAATGCGAGTGGTATATTGTGGCAATAAGGACAGTGTAGGGTGTCACTTGGGCACCATGAGGATTCTTTGATTATGATAGGAGTCTTGTTGTTCTTTGTATGAAAGATGCTAATTTATCTTGATGGTTTAGTTATTTCTATTCACCCCAAGTTCTCAACAGTTAGGTCTTGATCCAAACCCTGGTAAGCAATGGGAGTCATTCCATTGACTTCAGTGGCCTTTAGATCAGCCCCTTTGTATCAGACTGCACAGATACAAATAGCCATGCAGATCAGCTGAATGTTTCATTGCTGCTAACCTCAGTTATGAATCAAAGCTACAGAAAGATCTTTTAAAATTTCTTTTAGACGAGCTGGGTAGAAAGATTTCCTCCTTTTGGTGGTTTCTGCTTCACTAATTTCAACTAGCTAGAGGGTCAAATAATTTTGGTTTCAGTGGCTCCCAAAATAGAAGCTTAAAGATGTGGGATGGAGTCAGTCCTGTCAACGGGAGGAAGGGGGTGGGGATAAAGGAGACAACTGCCCCAGAACCCAGTAATTCAAAGGGGCCCAGGCCTCAGTAGCAATGTCCAGAGCGCCAAACCCTTCAAATTGCTGCTTTAGACAGCTCTTGGGGCTGCCTGGAGAAGTGGGGTCACCGTGTGGCACACTCTGCTCAGTGCTGGAGGTGGAGGGTGCTGTGGTCCGAGTGGTTCTGAGGGCCGGCTGCCCTTGGCCCCACTTCTTCCACCCAAGGCCCCTCCCCTTCCAAGAGTATGGAGTTGTCCCTCTCACCTTTCCCAGGGACCTGGCATGGCTGTCGGCTCCCCTAGATGGAGGGTACCATTTATGTAGACAGCAGTGAGCAGGTGTCTGCCCCAGATATTGGTACTCCTTTATGGTATTCTGCAGGAGAGAAATTTTGAAACCTGGTCACATGGGTTGTAGCTTCAGAAGAAGAAGAATACCCCACCCCTCCCACACAGTTGTACATGTCATTACAGAACTTTGGTAATTGCCCACAGATATGGATACCCATGAGTCTGTAAAAATATAGGCTTGTGAACTCCCAGCATATGCATGTATAGTTTTGAATCCACAATTTAAGCAGCCACATGTGAATACTTAGCCTGCTGGATCAAAGTGCAGAGGAAAGATGGAGTGTCAGAGTTTTATCCTTCTCAGAGTGATACCTTGAACTTTCCTCCCTCTGTTGTGTGTTGATAGCACACAAAAATCTTTAGGCATTAAGCCCAATGTCGACTGGAGAGAGATTTTTAATGGCATAAAGCAGAGCTAGGTGCCCAGTTCCCATGGAAAGTCAATGGGAGGTAGGCGCTTACCTGCCCTATGTACCTCTGAGACTCTGCCCTTGAGAACCTAATTCTAGTCTCAGTGATTCTGGTGTGTATATAAGGAGTAACTCCAATGAAGTCAATGGTATGAGAACAAATCAGGCCCTGGGTGATTAATAATGGTGTCATCGAGTGTTTAGAACAGGGGATTAAGTATCCTTGGGTATGTCTACACTACCCTCCTAATTCGAAATAGGAGGGTAATGAAGGCATACCGCAATTGCAAATGAAGCCCGGGATTTGAATTTCCCGGGCTTCATTTGCATAAAGCCGGCCAGCGCCATTTTTAAATGCCGGCAGTTCGAACCCCACGAGGAGTACAGCTAGTTCGGATTAGGAAGCCTAATGAGCGGGGATTTAAAAATGGCGGAGCCCCGCTTATGCAAATGAAGCCCGGGAAATTCAAATCCCGGGCTTCATTTGCAATTGCGGTATGCCTACATTACCCTCCTATTTCGAATTAGGAGGGTAGTGTAGACATACCCAAGGATACTGGATTTTATGCCTGTATCACAGTTGCTATGTCATCTTCAATAATTCACTTAGCATGAACTTTTCAAAGGTGTCTAAATCCCATTTCCAAAAGTGACATAGACACTTGGGCCCAGATTTTAAAGGTAGCTAGGAGTTGCTCTGCTCAGCTTTGCAAAAACTAAAACCCAGATCTTAATCCCCCCTCTCCCCAGATTAGGTACCTAACTCCTATTGGGTCTAAATGATTGAGATGGTTGAAGGCCCATTTTGAAAAATGATTTAGGAACCTAAGTCTAACTGTAGGTCAGTGTTAATCTATTAATATGTCTATAAAATAACACCAAAGGGTGCAATGAGGCTTCATGTAGCCCTGTTATGTAAAACACTCATACGTGGAATATATTAGAATGATGTGGTTTTATCAGCACGCACTTTGGGTAAGTACATTAATTTTGAGAGGAGAAACCACAAGTGCACTATGCAGATCATTCCGTCCTTTAAAATATACCATGCCATACTATAATCTGTATACACTCCAGAAAAACTGTTTTAGGAATGATTTAGAGAGCTTTTCAAGACTATTTTATTAAATAGTAAAACCAGGTGTTTTAATTGCCATTAGTTCAAATATACTGGCCTGAGAGAGAGTCATACAGATCCCTAAAAATAACATAAAATAATTTTTCTGGGCCCATCCAGGTTTAGAACTCAGTGCTGTGTGCTTCCTGAAGCATGTGGGAATGTCCCTTATGAAGTGATTTCTGTAGGACTTCAGGATATCAGACTTCAAAGTCCTACCATGTTTATGCATAGACCAAGTTGTCACTGGCCCAGGGCTGACTCTTGCTCATCTTCTGTCTAATGCAAGTGTCACTTTCTGGGAGCAAATTCCATGCTGAGAGGAGAGAAAAAGTGTCTCGGGCAGTTTGATTTTTCCTTTTAATGGCATCTGTTTGAACCTGCTTAGTTATGTTGGAATGCTCAATAAATCCTGAAGAGAGGAATATGAGTCAGAGCAGGGCATCATCAACAAAGTTGTTTAAGAAACAGCAGACTCATCCTAAACAACATCAACCTCTCATTGCACTTTGATTAGGAAATCTCTGTTAAAAATCTAGGGCCATTAATTCTCGAAAACGCTAGAAGCAGCATCTAAACAGGGGAAATTTACAACCTAATCATAAAATGAGCTCTGCCCAGGTGTTCTGTACTGTGCTTCTTGCAGAAGCAATTGGCTTAGTCTTAGTTTAAGAAAACAAAAAAGCATCTTAAAGATGAATCCTCAGTTATAGCTCCAAACCTTGCATTTCTCATAATCACACTTTACTTATATATCTAGATTCTTTCGGAAGAAGCTTTTCCAGAAGAGATCTTCTGAAAAAACTTCTTCTGAAAGAGTGCATCCACACAGCCAAAGCGCATTGAAAAAGCATTCTGCTTTTTCAAAAGATAGCATCCACACTGAATGGATGCTATCTCGCATTTAAACTGTGATTACTATGGGCGGAGTGGCCACCGGGGCACCTCTGCTTTTTCCTCTTTCCTCTTCTTCAGAAAGAACTCTCTCTTCCCCATCCGCATACAACTTTTTCTGAAAGAGCTCTTTCAGAAAAAGGCTTCTTTCTTGTAGAAAGAGGAATACCAATGCCAGAAAAACCCATCTGTTCTTTCGATTTTCTTTTGAAAGAACGCGATTGCAGTGTGGACATAATTTAATTTTTTTCCAGAAAATGGCCATTTTCCCAAAAAGCTCTGTAGTGTAGACATACCTTACAGATTCTAGTGGAAAAGCACATAGCTTATAGCTATGGGATAAAATGCAGAGCCATGTGATAGTACAGATTTGTTCCTGAAAAAGTCAACAATTACTGATTTGAAAGCTGAGCATTAATTATCCTTGAGAATCAGTTTCTATAGAATGCCTGGAACATTCCTTAGTCATTCTTTATTTAAAGGATTTGACAAAAATGCTTTTCAAAGAGGGGGCTTCAAAATGTCTCCAGGAAGGTGCACAGATGTGAATGCTTGTCATGCTGCTACAAGATAATTTCTGAAGTGTAACAAGAAAATAAAATCTTGTTGCTAATTACATAGCTCTTTTCTGCAAGACTGGGGGTCTTTGCATGAGAAAGAACAGTGACCACAAAGCTTGCGTATACTTGCATTTTACAGCTATTTCTTTTCTGTTCTCACTTCTTCCTCATCGTATACCGAAGGAGTGCACAAATACATCAAAGGCAGGCATGGTATGAAAAACTTTTTGTTGTGGTTTTGTTTTGGGCGGGGGGGAAGAGGGCTCTGTTGATGGGAAATTAAAACCAAATAGCAGCATTTATTTAGAGAATGACTTTACTGCTTCCTTTAGGGGTTTTGAGTTGATGAAGCATCTAACAAGCCTTCAAATATTAAAGGTCTTTTAACAGAGAACTAAAGCAGGAGAAAAAGGCAAAGCTAAAATTATTCCACACTTGCCTTTAATATAAATGAAAAGGAATTTAATGGTACTAATGCTTTATTATGGCTCAAATACACCCTATATGGGGATGAACAGAGTGAAGGCTCGAATTTATTCATATTTGTATCTAATATTTTGGTCCTGCCTGAGTGTGTGCCAATTCCACCACTCAACCAGAGTAAAATAGAGCACCCTTAGGGCTGTGGTAATTTATGCCTGGGTAACCCTCAGCTTTGTAGGAGTCACAAATAAAACAGCTATTGTTTGATGAGAATTGGTGGCATTTTTTATAAACGAATCACATACTTTGAATCTTTACCTGCAGGCTGCCAGAATGGAATACATAATGAATTTACCGCTCACAGAATTTCCACTAATATCAAATCTCTCGTGCCATTGGAGCCAGAGGTTAGGCTTCATATTACCGGCTTACGCAATGATTACTGTAAGTTTTTATTCTCTTTCATTGCTTGGAAGTTTGTATTTCTAACAGAGAGTGGGAACTTTTGTCTTAAGATGGTTAGCTGAATTGTGGTCTTTATACCAAATATGGCCCATGGAGTTCTATGGTGAAGCCTATGGCTAATCTAATTTTTCTTACAGGAAAGCAGCCTGTGAAATTGTAGGTCCTAATGTGAAATTCCAGGCAGTTTGGACAAAAGTGGAGCAGACTGCATACTGGAAATTATAGTCAACATCTGTAGTTGTAGTAATTATAATAATACCTAGTTCTGATATACTGCTTTTCATCTGCAAATCTGAAAGCATTTACAAAGGGGATAAATACCACCATCCTCACTTAATAAAGTCAAGTGTAGAATAGGTTATTCTTGGGCTTATAGCAATTTATCTATAGGGCAGTCCCTTGGACAAAACTTGAAATCTGATTGTATTCTGAGAGGTAGTTTGCTATTCATCTGATATATACATTTTGGGCAAATTTTCTTCCAGGCCTTTAGTTGTTTTTCTGTAGTGCACATGCAAAATTACACGTGTTCACATATGCTTGTACTCTGCAACTACAAATACTTGGACAATCACTTAAAAATGATAACAATCATGAACATGCAAGTGTTAGAACTTGTACTTTCAATACTAACTTATTACTGTAATTTTTTGTGGATAAACATAAACACTTTTTCATATGTACATTAACTAGTTCACTTATATCTGTGAATATGCATAATTTTTGCTGATGCATAAATTGATTTTTGGAATTCTACCCTGGTGATTAAAACCTATTTCACTCAAGCTGCACTCTCTCTGAGGGTGACAGCTTAAGTACAGACCTATTCCTGTAAATGATTCCTTATTACATCAAGTACCAGCAATGCCCTTCTGCCATGTATATTGGCTAAACCAGACAGTCTCCATGACAAAGGATAAATGAACACAAATCAGACATCAGAAATGATAACACACATAAACTTGTAGGGGAACATTTTAACTTGCCTGGTCACTCAATCACAGATTTAAAAATAGCCATTCTTCTATAAAGGAGAGAGTCTGCAGAACAGGAATTCTTCTACAGATTTGATACCCCTTACCCTGGGCTTGAACACAGACATTAACTGGTTGGCTCATTACAAAGCCAATTTCTCCTGCCTTTAACATCTGCATTTCCACATCAAAAGCTATACACGGGAGGGGAGAAGGGGAGGTAGGATCAAACCCACTTAATTAGCCCCATTAACACCAGTCCTAAATTGACAAGTACTTCTTCTGCTGTTTATCTCTATCTCTATTACTGTTTATCTTGGTTTCTGTTCTTTCTACTCCAGTTCACCTGATGAAGCGGGTTTTACCCACAAAAGCTCATGATTCTATATTTTTTGGATAGTCTCCAAGGTGCCACAGGACTACTTGTTTTTAAAGTTACAGATTAACATAGCTGAGATTCTTTAGTAATTTTAAGTAATTTTCTTGTAGATCTAAATTTACTGGACTGGAACCAGGGAAATCTCATTGCCATTGCTCTAGGATCTGCTGCACACATTTGGAATGGGGAATCGCACCAAAGCACTCAAAGAGTTAATTTAAATTCCAGTTCAAAATATATTTCTTCTGTGGCCTGGATAAAAGAGGGAACTTGCCTTGCAGTTGGCACCAGTGACGGAGAAGTGCAAGTACTGGATACTTTACCTTCAGAGCCTTTTTTCCCCCTGTTAGTTAAGACAATTCACACCACATAGATTCTTTTTATTAATAAAAACAGTTATGAATAGTAAATTATATATATAATTCAGAAAATATCTATTGGAGAAAGATATTTGGAGAAACTTTGCGATTAGGATTCAGGGCAAAATTCTCCTGTCATGTCTCCTGAGCAGATCTTGTCCTCAATATTCTGCTGTCCCTATATGTATAGAACTCCTAGTATGGCCCAATTCTCCAGAAATTGTCAAATAAAGAGGATAAGCCAGGGGAGCCAGCCCTACAGGCTTGGAAGTCAGTAATCAAAAGAGTAAGTAAGAAAATATTCCGAGTGTGGATTTCTAGATCTAGACACCTAAATGACTGGCTGTGTTTTCAGAAGTAGTGAGTAGCTGCTGCTCCTACTGACTTTGGGAGTAGTGATTTAGGAATCCAAGTCTGAAACTGTTGTCCACAGAGCCCAAAACTAAAGTCTTTGTGTGACTGGGCTCTTGATTGCCAGTATCATGTAAAATCAAAACTGAATGGTTGAAGTCACATGACAGTAAAAAAACCCAACAATTTTTACCTGATTTTAGAATTGTTTTGTTTTGTCAGTTATGGGACATTGAAACCAAAAAGAGGTTGAGAAATATGTTTGGTCACCTTTCTGTGGTGGGAGCCATGAGCTGGAATCATTATATACTTAGCAGGTGAGCAATTTAGTATATTCAGAGGATGCTTTGTCACACAGCTTTTACTCAGGCAAAGCTCCCACTGACATCAGTTGATTTCTTTGGTCCTGATAAAAAATGTATGTTCTATAATGTTCAGTTATCTGCTTATCTGTCATCTCAGATACCATGGTTAAAGGCACTATTATAATACCCAGGATATTGATCTATATATTGTCTCATGAGCTTGTATTCACCCATAGGCAGAATACCTGCACAATGCCTATCCACTACCTAGGGCCCATTTTGAGGCCTCAAGTGAAACATAATTGAATGTTAGGCTTTTTGCTGGCCCTCTGCATAGAGGTAAATTTCACCCCCAAGTGCCTAATACTTTGTATCTAAGCACTATTTCATAACAGTGGTTGAGCTAAGTCAAACTTATTTTTCTCTGCCATTTTGGATTTATGGTCTGCTTCATCTTATGTTCCCAATTCATTTTCTCAAATGGGACTGAGGAGTAACCTGCCCCAAACTGTAATTATATTTAGAGTTCTATTCTATGCTATGTAAAACTTCCATTTCAAAGCCATGTGAAATTCTGATAATTTTGATTAAAAACAGAAATAAAACCTGTGTTTCTTTCATACTTGGTTTAGAACCTTGAATCTTACAGTAACATTCAAAATTAAACTTTTTACTATCTCTGGACAGGAACACATTTTTTGAGAGTTTTGTCGTTTCATTTTCATTACTCAACAAACCTTTGTGACAGTTGATTGTACTATATCTCCTGTGTCATCCCCCCCTTCCCCAGGATAGTCTACTTACACAGTATTTATTAGTTTCAATTTGCCTTTGTACTTTGACTTTGCATATGAGTTCAGAGGAGACAGAAACTTATATGTTACAAATCTGTCTGAACAGAAAATGACAGTAAAATTCAACAATGCCCTCATGAACCAACACTAACAATTTGCTCAATTTTTGTGCAAAATGGAGCACAGAAATTCATCTAGGAGTACGTGGATTATCATTTCTTAGGAAATTCTCCATGATGCTACTGCACATGTGTAAGGAGATCTTTCTGCCTGATGACATATACCCTGCTAACCATCTGATGAGACCTGACATGTGTTACTACTGTTTGCCCTGTTGAGCCAGTATTATTCCATAGAATATTAACAAATTGGGAGTCTTCTAATTCCCCTTAAAGTATCTTGAAACAGGTATCACCTCAAACCCACACTACACAGAAGTCTGCCATTTTCTAATGATATATTTAAGCTAAAGTGGTGGCCTATCTTGTTGGAATTTATTCAGGTATTTGCTGGCTTCATTATTTTCAAGAATTTAGCAGGTCAGTACAACACAGGATAATGAAACCCATTCTCAATCTTACACGAATCCTTTCATTTTGTGCTTATGTTAATAAGAGGCTACAAGTCAAAAGGGTGTGTCTGCACTGCACCATTATTTCGAGATAAGTTGCATTATTTCAGTATAACAATGTGAGAGTCTACACAGCCATTCTGCTATTTCGAAATAATTTTGAAATAACAGACGGCTTATCCTGAAATCTGTTAACCTTATTCTACAAGGAATAGTGCCTATTCTGAAATAACTATTTTGAAATAAGGTGTGTATAGATGCTCCACTGCTGCTATTTCAAAATAGCCCCTCACCAGGGCCATTCTAAATTATTCCTTCCCGGTGCTTCCTGGGGCTCTAAATTGAGATAGCACGCCTTCATTAGGGAAGCCTGCCTCAGACTACTGTGAATTAGTGTATATAACTGGCACACGAGTATAACCCACACTCATGTATAACCCACGGCTTTTCCTGATTGTGTAAAAAAAGACCTAGATAACCTGTGGACGAGTATAACCCATGGGTTCTATATGCTAATTCACAGTGATTGTGTAACCACCACTGGGCGGATCTGAACCTGGGATTTCAGGAGCTGACTATAGGAGCCTCTACCCTCTGAGCTAAAAGCCAACTGCCTCCTAGCCTCTGCTGTAGAGGTCTCTTGGTCTTAACTGTTGCTGTGGTCTAGGTACCACTTGCATTGCTCCGTAACCACATTAGGTGTGTGGGTTACAACTGCACATACCAGCTGCCAGCAGGGGGAACGGAGAGCGTGGGAGGGGAGCCGCACTCGCCCCCAGGCGCTGCGTAGCCTCAACTCACCCTCCTCCGGGTGGGGGAATGGAGAGCACAGTGCAGGTGCACTGGCTGGCCTGCGGGAGGAGAGCTGCACTTGCCCCCAGGCTCTGCGCAGCCGCAGCCAGGCGCAACTCTGTGAGTAAAAATAAACGTGTATACCCCACGGACATGTATACACCGCGGGGGAAAAAGGGGGTTGTAAAAACGTGTATAACCTGCAGGTTATATATGCTAATTTACGGTAATTTTGAGGCTTCCCTGCAGTGTAGACATGCTATTTCTAAATAAACTATTTTGGAACAACTATTCCGAAATAGCTTATTTCAAAAATAAGCGAGCAGTGTAGACGTACCCAAAGTGAAACTTAACTTGGATATGAAAAACCTAAGAATAAAAGCCTGCCTTGAAAGAAAAACTCTGCATGAAGTGGCTATGACAGTATACTTTATGGGAGAGTTCTAGATCAGGATTCTAGATTGAGTGTAGCCTTGAATCTATTCACCAAAATGCCAGTCGGTGCAGCAGAGCCAGCATGGCAGGGAAAGTAAATGGAGCAAGCTTTGGGAAACCAGTGACCTGATGGTGACTCTCTGAGTCAACATTGGGTTCTTGATCTGTTCCTAGAGGTATGCAACTATCTACTGCCCCTTAGCTGGGAGCCATGGCAAAGCCACAATTGACAATACAGAAACAATGGTGGAGTGTTTTTCGTAGAGATAATGGAATTGATTGAATGTAATTGTTTATAGGGGGAAATTGGTAACTACACTAGACTATCTCTTCAGGTAAGTGCAAGAACAATTAATCTTCCTGACCTGGGTTGAGCATACACGTATCCCTGATCCATTGCACTAAACCTGAATATGCTTTTGACCCTGGCTTGTTTTGCCCTTTATCACCTTGTTATTTGGATATACATGATCCCCATTGTTGTGTTTTGTTTTTGAAACCACAGAAGCCTTGTGAATGTGGAAACATATGAACTCTAGCTTGCTAAATGATTATGTCTCTTCCTATCCACAGTGGCTCTAGACTAGGATTAATTCATCATCATGATGTTCGGATTGCTCAGCACCATGTAGGGACTCTTTGTCATAGCAAGCAGAGCATTTGCAGCCTGAAATGGTCCCCAGACAGTAAGCTGCTGGCAAGTGGGTCCAGTGATGGTCTATTGAATATCTGGCCTAACGACCCCGGTTTGACAGTGCATTGCAAGCCACTGAAAGCCATACCCCAAGCTTCAGCAGTAAAGGTATGTAACAGGGCACAATTTACCACTGCAGCACCTCCTGCTGGTCTCTTGGGAATCAGCCCTGGAGCTCCCCTGGCTGGTGTTGTTGTAGTGCCCCCACATTGTGGGGTCCTCCCCCTCAGGGAACATCCAGCCCTCTATACCCACCTTGTCTCAGGGACCCTACTGCTAGTTGTCATCTAGCCCCTGTCTTGGGAGCAAACTGCAGTCTGAAATGCCACTCATCATTGGCAAGAGGTATAGACCTACTGCCTTCTCCTTCCCTGGATGTCTTCCTGCAGCCCTTGTGCCCTCAGGCCTTATCTCAGGCCCTCAGCCTGGGTGCTTGTCTGGTTTGAGCTCCCTAGCTCAACCTGCCTTTCCTCAGCACTACTCTATCTCAGGAAGCCTCTAGCTTCATTGGTAGCCAGGTCCTTCCTGCTTCACAGCTGGAGCAAGAGTGTGTGAGACTGTGCCCCTCCAAGAGCCCTTATTTATACAGCCCAAGCTGGGTCCTAATTGGCTATATTTGCCTCATTAGTGGGCTCCACCATCTCAGCCCTTTCCCAGAGCTGGATTTAACTCTTCTTAGGCCAGTGTGGGGCAGACGCCCCATCACAAGGTACAAAGGGAAAATGCTCTATTATGTAATTTCACATATAACACATTTAACATAGAGAATAGCTACTTTTCTAAATGGATTTACATGCAGTATTGTTGCTGATGCAGTAAAACTATGACCTGAATAAAAGGCCGGCAAGATAAAATAGTGTACCCTTTTATTTTATTTAAAGTGAGTTTTGTAATGTGTTTGGCTTTGGCATGGATTTGGCTCTGGCAGCTACAGTTTCAAGCTTAACTGAGCGAAAGTCACCTCTGCTACTTACTGAAGCATATAGAAATTCTATACAGACCTAGGCACAAGTTACAAATATAGTCATACTCTCATCCTTAACAATAGTGTTATGGGTTTCACGTGTCCTGTCTTGTCTATCTGAATTCTGACTATACCTCCGTAGCGTTTATGCACATCGTGCACTCTATGCTTAGGACATGCATGAGAAAATTGATTACTGGATATTTTGTAAAGAAAAATTACTCTTAGTATTACCCATTGATACATCTTTTCCAATAATCCTAGGGCATCAGGTTATTCTTCAGTCACTTACGTCAAAGCGTGTTAGTCTGAATCCGCATAAACAACTAGAAGTCCTGTGGCACCTTTAGACTAACAGATTTATTGGAGCATAAGATTTTGTGGGCAAAGACCCACTTCATCTGAAAGCTTATGCTCCAATAAATCTGTTAGTCTATAAGATGCCACAGGACTTCTCGTTGTTTACATCAAAGCATTTTTTATCTTTATGGCTGGGCATGGCTAAGCTAAAATCTTACAGACCTCAGTCTGTAGGCCTTGAGTTTCAGCCATAATTACTTAGATACCTAATACATGATTATTCTTTTAACTATAGATCAATTTTATATTTCTATAAGCCTACAGTTTAACTCTACTTAACATACAATTTTTATATATTATATATTAGTTAATCATAACCACAACTAACACAGCGAGGCACAGGCTATCCAATAAGTTTCTGGACTGCATTGGAGACAACTTTCTGTTTCAGAAGGTTGAAAAAGCTACCAGAGGAGAAGCTGTTCTGGATTTGGTTTTAACAAATAGGGAGGAACTAGTTGAGAACTTGAAAGTGGAAGACAGTATAGGGGACAGTGATCATGAAATAATAGAGTTCATGATCTTAAGGAAAGGTAGAAGGGAGACCAGCACAATTGAGGTTATGGATTTCAGGAAGGCAGATTTTGATAAGCTCAGAGAACTTGTAGGTAAGGTCCCATGGGAAGCAAGACTGAAGGGAAAAACAACTGAGGAGAGTTGGAAGTATTTCAAAGGGACGTTGTTAAGGGCCCAAAAGCAAACAATTCCGCTGTGTAGGAAAGATAGAAAATATGGCAAAAGACCAGCTTGGCTTAACAAGGAGATCTTGCATGATCTCAAAATAAAAAAGGAGTCATATAAAAAATGGAAACTAGGACAACTAACAAAGGATGAATATAGGCAAGCAACACGGGAATGCAGGGGCAAGATTAGAAAGGCAAAGGCACAAAATGAGATCAAACTAGCTACAGGCATAAAGGGAAACAAGAAGACCTTTTATAAATACATTAAAAGCAAGAGGAAGACCAAGGACAGGGTAGGCCCACTGCTTAGTGAGGAGGGAGAAGCAGTAACAGGGAACTTGGAAATGGCGGAGATGCTCAATGACTTCTTTGTTTCGGTCTTCACCGAGAAGTCTGGAGGTGTGCCTAACGTAGTGAATACAAGCAGAGAGAGGGTAAGTTTAGAAGATAGGATACACAAAGAACAAGTTAAAAATCACTTAGGAAAGTTAGATGTCAGCAAGTCACCAGGTCCTGATGAAATGCATCCCAGGATACTCAAGGAGCTGATAGAGGAGGTATCTGAGCCTTTAGCTATGATCTTTGAAAAATCATGGCAGACAGGGGAGATTCCAGAAGACTGGAAAAGGGCAAATATTGTGCCCATCTATAAAAAGGGGAATAAGAACAACCCAGGAAATTATAGACCGGTCAGTTTAACGTCTGTCCCAGGGAAGATAATGGAGCAGGTAATTAAGGAAATCATATGCAAACACTTGGAAGGTAATAAAGTGATAGGGAATAGCCAGCATGGGTTTGTGAAGAACAAGTCATGCCAAACTAATCTGATAGCTTTCTTTGATAAGATAACGAGCCTTGTGGATAAGGGAGAAGCGGTGGATGTCATATACCTAGACTTTAGTAAGGCATTTGATACGGTCTCGCATGATATTCTTATTGATAAACTAGGCAAATATAACTTAGATAGGGCCACGATAAGGTGGGTGCATAATTGGCTGGATAACCGTAGTCAGAGAGTTGTTGTTAACGGTTCTAAATCCTGCTGGAAAGGGATAACAAGTGGAGTTCCTCAAGGGTCTGTTTTGGGACCCGTACTGTTCAATATCTTCATCAATGATGTAGATATTGGGATAGAGAGTACTCTTATTAAGTTTGCAGATGATACCAAACTGGGTGGGGTTGCAACTTCTTTGGAGGATAGGGACATAATTCAAAATGACCTTAGCAAGTTAGAGAAATGGTCGGAGGTAAACAGGATGAGGTTTAATAAGGAGAAATGCAGAGTGCTCCACTTAGGAAGGAACAATCAGTTCCATACATACAAGATGGGAAGCGACTGTCTAGGAAGGAGCATGGCGGAAAGGGATCTAGGGGTCATAGTGGACCACAAGTTGAATATGAGTCAACAGTGTGATGCTGTTGCAAAAAAAGCAAATATGATTCTAGGTTGTATCAACAGGTGTGTTGTAAGCAAAACTCGTGAAGTCATTCTGCCGCTCTATTCTGCACTAGTTAGGCCTCAGCTGGAGTACTGTGTCCAGTTCTGGGCGCCACATTTCAAGAAAGATGTGGAGAAATTGGAAAGGGTACAGAGAAGAGTGACAAGAATGATTAAAGGTCTAGAGAAGCCTATGAAGCCAGGCTTCATGAACTGGGCTTGTTTAGTTTGGAAAAAAGAAGATTAAGGGGGGACATGATAGTGGTTTTCAAATATCTAAAAGGGTGTCACAAGGAGGAAGGCGAAAATTTGTTCCTCTTGGTTTCTGAGGACAGGACATGGAGTAATGGGCTTAAAGTGCAGCAGGGGAGGTTTAGATTGGACATTAGGAAAAAATTCCTAACTGTTAGGGTGGTCAAATATTGGAATAAATTGCCAAGGGAGGTGGTGGAATCTCCCTCTCTGGAGATATTTAAGAACAGGTTAGATAGACATCTGTCAGGGATGGTGTAGACGGAGCTTGGTCCTACTTTGAGGGCGGGGGGCTGGACTCGATGCCCTCTCGAGGTCCCTTCCAGTCCTATAATTCTATGATTCTATGATTCTATGAAATGAACAATAAACTAAAATAATTGGCTACAACAGTATTTCTTCCATTGTTGGACATGGTCTTTTAAACTTTTAGGGTTGTCCCAATGGTCCTTCTTAATTTCTGCTACCCAAAATGCACTAAAAGTTAATGTTGAACACCAGTTCCCCTAACGAGAATCATTTTAGACCACAAGTAAGTTGTTGCTGGTGCTTTGGTTTCTTGGATACTTTTTCTCCATTTTAACTATGATACCAAATAAAAATAAAATGTACAGTAACAAAATAAATAGTTCAGCATCAAAGAATTAATACAAAACCTGACACTTCTAGAAGAGAAGTATTAGAATCAAATTGTAACTCTCAGTCCTGGAAATTAAAAAACAAACAAACAATGTGTTTTCTTCCCCCTCGTAACCTTGATTTCCTTCCTGGGTGTGACATCTGGTAACAATGGTTGCAATGGGACAAGTAATAAGATCAAGGACCTGATGGCTGAAAGTGGGGGACTTAGATTTTATGGTCTGTTTCCTGAAAAATACCTAAATCTGTGGAAGAGGAGAGGTAGCAGAAAGCAGCAACAGGAGTTGGGAGACCCGGGTTTTATGGGATGTATATCCTTGAAAATAGTCTGAAATTGCAATGAAAAGCAGTAGAAAAAGGTCATGGCAAGCATCTGAAATGGGTGAAAACTGGGTTTTATTGGCACGCCACCAGGTATAGTCTGCAACTCTGGAGTAGACCAGAAGCAGACTGAAGAAGTCCTAGAAGCCTGGAAGCATATAGGTCATATAGAGTGAAGTGCTATAAACCTGTTTGGCCATAAATATATGAATTTATGAAACATGAAGTAGAAGCAACAGCTGGAGCCAAGGGAACCTGAATTTTATGGGCTTACATGGAAGTAGTGAAGCCACAGGGAAGCATTGGCAAAAGGGGCCTGTTGCATGGCTGGAGCGGAAGGAGTCTATGTTTGTTATTTCCCTGGAAGCAGTGTGGGCTGAGTGAGCTCTGTGCACATAGGGGTAGGGAACAGAAGCGCCTTGAGTTCTGACCCATAGGTGTCATGGGTGACTGTGCTTCATTTCTCCAATCCATTTTACAAGTAAAATCTATTATATTCCCCACTTGCAATTAATCACCTTCTAATACAGCATCTTTATCTATTTCCTTTCCTTTAGGCTATGGACTGGTGTCCATGGCAGTCAGAAATCCTTGCCACAGGAGGTGGAATGAAGGATGGATTTTTACGTGTCTGGGACATAAGCAAAGGGAAGATCATCAGAACCACAGACACAAAATCTCAGGTGAACATGTAAAATATCTTTACACTTAAGCTCTATGAGCTGCATTCACCTTGTACAGCTCCTGGCAAAATACTATGTACAGAGTAGCTGCAGGATTCTGCGTACCTATATGTTCATTTAAACTACACTCTCAGCTGTGTTATATCATTGGACTCAGAATTAGCTAATTCATGTCCCAGTCATCACTTCTGTTTCCTCACAACTTTTAATTTGGTCAGAGAGGAGGTAACAGTGAAGTAGTCTCATACCAAAGCCATGTGCTATCGATCAACTTTGGTATTGACAAAATGCCTAACGAGGAGAGGAAGATGTGAGAGAAGCCGGTTTCCCAGGAAGCATAAGAGAACTACTAGAGTGGGCATGAGTAGTCAGAGAATAACAATCAGTCTCTGTGGGTTGAATATTCAGATTCTCAGCTGGTATAAACTGCCATGGCCCCATTGATTTCCCTGGAACTATTTCAGTTTCCATGAGCTGAGGCTTTGGCTGAGGATGCTGTTTTTAAATCTGGCAGGATGCCATCCTTTTAAGAAAGGATGATAATGCAGCTGCACTTGGCAACAGTCAATATTGAGGGAAATCAAATAGTCCTCTCATGACTATGTAACTATTTTTCCAATGTTGCTCAAAAACTTGTACATTTTGAGAATTTGCTAAGAACATTGTCAGTCTAAAAACCGTTGACTAGCTCATGTAGATCCTTTTAAAAATTAAAATGATTTTTTTAAACTACAATAGATTTGCTCCCTGTTGTGGTTACCCAAAACCAATGAATTGATGACTGGACAGGGTATCCCTAAAAATCAGATGAAAATATGGAAATATCCCACACTTACCAATTCAACTGAGCTTCATGGTAAGTATTTCAGTTTTTTTCTTCTTAGTTGAACTTTCTCTTTTTATATATATAATCTATGTATTTACACATACAGACACACTTAAATAAAACAAGCTCATTCCTACTTACATGCACTCAGCATAGGACTACCCATGTTGCACTCTTGCTTAATAATCCAGTAAGGAAGTAAAGCCTGAAAACTAATCAATAGTAGAAATATATTAGTAACAGGGCCACTTTAATATTAAACTTTGGGGAAATATTCAGCTTAAAAATATGTCAACACTGCAGTTACATGCTTTTGGCTGTCCTGTGTCTGCTGACTTGGTCTCACGTGTTCCAGCTTAGGAGTTGTGTAGTGGTGTGTAGGTTGGGGCTTTGATTGTGGTGTGTAGGTTGGGGCTTGTGCTGTAGAACTGAGCGCTGGAATCCTTTCTCTTGAGGGGTCCCAGAACCTAAGTAATTAAATAATCCCTTAGTTTCAGCCTCGTGAGCCTGAGTTAGCTGACATAGGCCAGCCATGGGTTTTTCAATAGTGAGATATATTACTACTCATCAAGACACTCATTTTGACTACAGTGGTGAATCAAGAGTTCAGGTTTAGGACAAAGTGGCAAAATATTATTTTTTGAGAGGGAAGTCTTGCAGAACTTTATAAAATCCTGATGGTTCAAACGTAGTCCCTAATAAGAGAAAAAAATTGCTTTCATCTTTTTCTTAATCTGTAAAACTGCTGTAAATCTTAGGCTTGCCCAAAACAGATAGCCCATGCTCTGCAGCTTGTTGTGCAGTGATAGTACACCAGACCTTATTATGAGTGGGCAATTTTTAAAATGACAAAGAGTTCTCATTTTAAAATCATAACATCTCTCTGACCTTTGTTATTGTGGTTTGGTTTTGTAGGACATAAAGGACGAGTCTTACACATAGCACTGAGCCCGGATCATTGCAGGATCTTTTCTCTTGCAGCTGATGGACTGGCTTGTGTGTGGAAATATGGCTAGTCAGGTGAAAGAAAACAGAGAAGCAAGCACAGAAGCAAAAATAATTTAGGAGAATTATTCTAGTTAGATGTGGCAACTTTTTTGGCATTGATTTTTTCAAAGCGAGTAATTAAAGGTTGTTGGCTATGACAATCATACAACAAATCTTAATTCTTTCCAAATGGAACATGGAAAAGAGATAACATCTTTAGTTAATGAGAAAGCAATATTCCAGTTACTTCATTATCACAGGGAATGCGCTTAAGCGCATGCCGCCCATGCTATAGATGAAAAACATTCTAACTCTGATTAATCCCAGTCTCTTGAAGGCTCAGATCAAGTGTAGTGTCTATCAACTTTGTTTTCATTAAGCCAGTAATCATGTGTACCATTCACACATGCACAGAGAGCCAGCATGAGGACTATGTACCAAATTAAGTCTCACTTAATGCTTGTTTTGAGACATAGGCCTAGGAAAACATTCTACATTGGCTAATTCTCAGGAGTATGTGGTACCTTAGAGTATGTCTACACAGCCCATATAGGCAAGCCTCCAAACCAGGGGTGGCCAACCTGTTCCAGATGAAGAGCGGCAATAGCAGTGAAGACAGTGTGAAGAGTTGGGGAAAAGTTGTTGAGAAAAAAAAAAAACCCACCACGCTGCGGGAAAATAAATGCTGGTACACTGTCCCACAGCTGCTTTTTGTTTTTTCCTTTTTGTTAACAACATTTCCCCCAGTCTTCGCTCAGTGGTGCTTATCTATAACCCCTAGGGTTGCCAGGTGTCCGGTTTTTGCCCAGTAATTGCGTCTTCTGTCTGGCAAAAAAAAAAAAAAACCAACAAAAAAACCAGAAAATTTTCTGTTTTTCTTGGACAGAAGGCCGGCGGGGACATTTTCAGCAGGGGATGCTGGCTCAGGGAGGGGAC